AAATGTATTGACACAGTTATATTTCTAAATTAGAAAAATAATAGTCTAAACCAGGTTTTAAATCAGGTGTTAAATCAGATTTTAACTAAATAGTTTAAACTGAATCTCAAGTAGTTCGAGACCTGTTTCTACTAGTTTGGAGCATAAATCGAACTGTTTGAGTAACTTAACATCATTAATTACATTATTCATGAATCATCATAAAAAAAGGTTTATGAGTTACTTGACAGGTGAAAAATCATTGTCTTTTGTCAATAGAAATACATATTATGTAACAAAATTTGTAAAAATTAGATGAGAGCCTATGTTTTATATTTTTAATTTCTTCCCTGAGTCATTTCCAGAAAGTGAAGGTGGATCTATTCAGATAGCTCAGGGCAAAAATATGCGTTAACAGAATTGCAGAAAGGTCATACAGATAGTCAGGTGATTAGCAACACCGCGCAGGAGTTTTTCAATATAGCAAATTTTCTATTAGCTAAAAAATAATATTAGTCAGATTATTATTTAAATTCATTATATAAAATTTTATCAAAGTTGAACCCAGAAGTCTTTAAAATATACGCAAATATATGCTTTACTCTGTATTTGCAATTGATGCTTTTACGCTTCTTATATTTTTAAAATAAGAAAATATATATTGTAACTATAATTATATTAATTACTCTTTGAACTAAATCACCCATACTAATATAAATTTATTCCTGAATTAAACGATGCTTGCGTATATGTATATCTTCAAAGTGGATCAAGAATTCATAATCATTGTCGAAAGTATCATTACATTTAGGACAAGCAAATTCTCTACTCACTTTGAAATGCTGATGATGTCTAATCAATCAACCATAAATATACAAATGAAGTATTTATAACATAAAAATAAAGAAATAAAAAATAATAATACACCAGATTAATAAGCTCATCGATCTTTCAAATCTGTAATCTAAAATCTAACCTGGTAAGACATTTTTACCTCTCACATAGGATTACTATAGTTTTAACCCTTCCCATATATATAAATTCATTTATGTTGTAGATCGATTAACCACCCAAGTTGGACTGACGTGTTTTGTATTAATAATTCTTCTTTAAATCTCTTATCTACTTCCTTAAATTTTGAATTAGATACATCCTTTCCAATATCATTAACTTTAACAAGAAATATAGAGGTGAAGGAAACACCCTGAAAGGTTTAACACTATCGATAAATCAGCTGACGGTCTATATTTTTGGTTATAAAAGCAATATTTAGTGTCCTAATTGCTTATTTATTTGCAATAATAAAATTATATCTATCCTGTGATGTAGTGACTCTATTACCTTGTCGTGTTAGTACATTTTAGTTATGATATTGAGAAAAAATTACTGCAACTACTTTTCTCTAGAGTATAATATTTATGACATAGGTATTAGTTTTTCATTTTAGTTCAAGTTCAAAAAGGCTGATAGGCCGTCTGTCAACTTTTAGAGTATGGTTTTTTAGCTTGCTATTGATTTATTCAAATTTTTCAAGAATATAGGTACTTCAAAATCTAAATTATTAAGGTTTATTTTTTGATTATAAGCTTTAAATATTTTAGGCATGTTTAAGTGAAAATTTTGGGAATAAAAATTTTGGACAAATAGGTATTTAGTGATGTAAAATCAAATCAAATCAGCAAGAAAAAACTGATGCATTTGACAAAGGTGATTATAAGAAGAATTCTGATAATAGAAAAGAACTAAAGCAATGTAAATGATAAGCATTAGAAATGTTGTACAGTTTAGAATACTGATTGAACTCAAATGTATTTAGAAAATTAAGTAATCAAATCATTTTTTAGATGAATTCTTTATAGTAAATAAATTAATTATAATACATAATGAAAATTTTCTATACTAATATATATAATTATTTACTATAGACTTTATCATCTATTTTTTCGTCAATACTTTTTCATAATGAACAAAATAACGTTAGTAATTTCATACTGCATATTTTTCACATAATTATGTTGGTTGAAAAAATTAAAAGGTCTGAGTTGTGGTTGTTAATTTGATATATAGAATATTCAAAAAAAAAATGAATTAATATAAAGTTGTTGATTATAAAAGATCAAACCTTTTGGCTGCTTGAATAGCGAATTCCTTAATTTTTTGTATTCTTTTAAAATAACAATTTTTCAGTTTTTTATCGTATCATACTTTAAGAGAGGAAATTTCCATTATCTTAACATATAGGTTGATTGTTAGAAAAATCAGGTTTTGGGAATTTTTAACAAAATTGAAATTATTATTGCATTTTAATAGTAAATAATAATTTATAATACTTACTTCATTATTTTTTAAATTAAATTTACATCTTTTTCTTCAACTTTTTTTCTTTCTCAATATTGCTTAATTCCTTTTTTATTGACATCTGATTTCTTTTCTGATATCTATAATAAATACTTTTTTATTATAAAATTATTATTGTTATTTGAAAAGTTTTAGACAAAATTAACATTTGCATAAATATAAGTTTTCATTCATTTTATAATAAAATTAATTAGAAAATTTAAAAAAATGTTTTGCAATTAATAATGAAAAAAATTAAAAAACAATTGTTTTGTAATTAAGAATAAATAATATATAAGTAATAAATTACAATATATATATACAAAAAAAAATTATTCTTTTATTTTATTTTAAGTATATCTTTATAAAAATATTTATATTATATAGTAGATTAGAATACTACATTTATTTAGAAAGTCAGATTCTTCAATTATCTTTTTATCTAATTATTTAGTTATCTGTATAAATTAAATATATTATATAATTTATTTATAAATCATATACAATTAAAATTTAAAAATTTTTAATTATTATTTTCACTTAATAAAATAATTTTATAAGTTTAATTATATCAAATTAATATAATAATTTTATTTAATATAAGTTAGTTATATAAAAATAGTAAAATAATTTCATTTAAAATATTAATTTATATATTTAATTTTCAAAATTCAAAAAAATACAAAAAATTTATTAAAAAAAAATTTTTTTAATCTTTTCATCAAAAAAAAATTACACATTAAATAATAAAAAAATATTAATAAAATAACATAAAAATAAAAAAATTAAAATTAAAAAAATATATATTTTTTTTGAAATTAACTAAAGTTACTTGTCTAAACTCATTTTGGATTTGACAAAATATCTAAACTATAGTTTCACTAATTTTTTACTAAAGTTTAATATAGTTTCACATTTTTATAAGCTTTGATATAGTTTTACTTTTTTCAGAATTTGCAGATTTTTAATAAGATTTTAATATAATTTCTCTAAATTTTATCTTTTTTCATTTAGACAACTTGTAAAACCTCTAAGTTTTGTTTAGCAATCTTAATATTAATATTAGTATTAATTAGTTTTAATAGATAATATTAGCTTTTTTTGGTATTAGTATTTAGCATTAACTTTGACAGAACATATCAGCTTTTTTAGCATTGACATGACTTTAGTATTATATTGATATTAATACTAACATTATGATATTAGCTTTTTTAGCTTTAATATTAATATTGATATTTGTGCTACTATTAGCTTTAATAATACTAGTATTAATAATAGCGTTAGTATTGGTACTAGTGCTAGTGCTGATATTGGTATTGATACTAATATTAGCATTAATATTGATATTAGCATTAATATTAGCATTTGACATTAAATTTGATATTGACTTTAATAATTAGCATTAGCTTTTTTTGACTTAGTTTTAGTTTTAACAGTATATAATTTTTTTTAGTAGCTTAGCATTAGTTTTAATATTAGCTTTAGTAATAACATTAGCTTTTTTTTAGCATTAGCTTTGATTTTGATAATGACATTATTTTTTTTAGTGATAACATTAGCATTAGTTTTAGCTTTGATGTTAGCATTATTATTAGCTTTAGCTAAGATATAAAAAATTATTAATTTTTAATTTTTAAAAAAAATATATATTAAATATTTTTAAATTCTTATTTTTATGGTGATCTTTTACTGAATGATAGATAATTTTTATAATATAATTATTTATTAACTAATATTTAAAATAATAATTCTAATATCTTTATAAAATATTATATTAATTAATCTAATAACCTAACCTATTATAATAATAATAAGTATTAGATGAACTATAATAATTTTAAAAATAATTATAAATTATAATGATAATATAATTTATTAAAATATTATTTACCTAATTGATTAATTTGATTATATTACAGAGGGTAGATAAAAGTATCTACATACTTTTTTACTTAATATAAAACTTAAAATATTTTTGCAATAATAATAAAAGTCAATTAATTTTTTATTTAAAGCTGATTAATATCTACATTTTGTACTAAGTAACTAGTACTTAGTTGGATCACTATTTGTCACAATTACCACTTGAATTCATTATGATATACTATTAACTAAGTTTTTGATAGTATACTTTAAAATTTCCTGCCATACCTTTTTAAAATATCAGTTAAGATCAGCAAGATTAAATAGAGGTTTTTTATAAACTCAGATGCTTTTTTTGACTTCAGCCCAAAGATTCTCAATTGGATTAAGATCAGAACTTTAAGCTGATCAAGATAATGTACGAAGATTGTTTTTCACTTGAAAAATCATTGCAGTTAATTCTTTGGTTTTTACCATTTTTTTTAGATTTTCAGAGAAGAAAAATTTATTAAAAAAAAAACAAATTTGTTATTCTTTTATTTTTATAATATAAGTAAATACTTAAGTATCATGTAAACGCAATTTGTTATTGTGATCATATAACTTTACTAATATTAATTCACATTTATAGAGGTGTGCGAATACTTTTGTTCACCCTCTGTAATAGTAATAATTCTAATGATAATAATGGTAATGATAATAATGGTGGTTATAATAGTTATAATAGTTATAGTAGTTGTAATAATAGTATTACATTTACTACTATTGATGTTAATAATAATGATAAGAAGAAAGGTAAAGATAAAGGTTAAATATAATTATAAAGATTATAAATAAAATAATTATACAAAATATAATTGTGATAGTATTAAAGATTTCAATAATAGTAGTGATGATATATTTAGATAAACATTTAACATATTTTATATTTTATAATTAACTTTAATAATTTCATTATTTATATTAATTATTTTTTATTTCTTATCATAATTTTTATTTGAATTTGATATTTTAGTTTTTTTTAAATAAAAAAAAAAATTTTTTTAAATTTATTTCTTCTTTTGAATAAAATTTTAGAAAATTATAAAATATGTTTAAATTCTTTATTGAAGAAATCTAAAAATTAAATAAATACTTATATGAAATTAGAATAATATTATATTGATATAATTAAATGTAATTAAAAATATATCATAGAAAGAAATCATTCAACTAATAAATTTCTATAAGAAGAATAAGTCTTTAAGCTTTTTTTAAAAATAAATTTTAATTTTTTGATAATGTAATATATATGAACTCTTTGCAATAGAAAGGGAGTAAACTACCAAAAAAATTTTTTTTTACTTTATAAGCTAAATATTATTTTTTTAACAAAATAAATCCAAATTTAATGTTAACTCAAAAAAAATTTTTTTGATAGTTTCCTTCCTTTCTATTGCAAAGGGCTCATATAGATTTACAATTTATATTTTGCATAATAGATTTATTTTAAAAAAAAAGAATCTAAAATAAACTTTAATTTTTAATAATATAATGTATAGATTTACAATTAGTATTTTTGCATGATCAGATTTACTTTGAAAAGAAATAAGTTGTTGATTATTTTAAAATAAACTTTAATTTTAATAATATAATATATAGATCTATGATTAGTATTTTTATATAATCAGATTTATTTTGAGAAAAAATAAATCTTAAATATTTTAAAAATAAATTTTGATTTTTAATAATATAATACAATAAGAATTTTTATATAATAAATTTACTTTTAAAAGAAATAAATCAATTATTTAATTTTTAATAATGTATTTTCAATTGTTTAATTTTAGTTTAAAAATATAAATTATTAATAATCAGAAAATTATTGATTAAAATCTCATTTTCTTTAACTTATCTAAATTTTCTTTGATTTTTTATTGTATTTTATTATTTAACTTTAATTAATGTTGATTATTTCCTATTAAAATGGCTTTATTAAAATAATTATAATATAAGAATAAATTTTTAATTGTATAAATTATCATAAAAGTTATTACATAAATTATTACATAAGTAAATTTTCATGTAATTATTTTCAAAAAATGTAAATAAAAACAATATTAAATCTAGAATTACAAGAAAAACTTAACTAATTACAAAATTTTCTTGAAGTAATTATTCAAAATAATAATACTAGTATCTTAAAACTAACTTAATAATATATTAGTAATGCTAAAATTTTAAAAATATTTAACATATCAAAGAATAAATTTAATAATATATTGGTAAGAATTTTATAAATATTAAATAATATACAGTATTACTAGTTTATTAATTTTATTTCTTTTTAAAGTCAGAAGTATACTTTATATATTGATCTTAAAAATTGATTTTATTATCAAATATAAAGATCAAGATATAAGCTA